TCATATTCCACCTCCTGAAATGGAAGAACATCAACCAATTCTTTCTGGTACAGTGACCCTGTGTATTCCTTCCATGTTCTTTTGACGTTTCCTGCATCATTCAACATTTTGCCCATATAATCTTTCAGTAACACAAATTGAGGCTTAAATTTTTCCCTCAGTTCTTTCAGCTTGAGAAATGCTGAGCATGTTCTTCCCTTTTGGTTTTCCAACTCCAGGTCTTTGCACATTTCATTATAATAATTGGCTTTGTCTTCTTGAGCTACCCTTTGAAATCTTCTGTTTGGCTCTTTTATCTTGTCATTTCTTCCATTTGCTTTAGCTACTCTTCACTCAAGGGCAAGTTTCAGAGTCTCTTCTGACATTCATTTTGTCTTTTCTTCCTTTCTTGTCTTTTTAATTACCTCTTGCTTTCTTCATGGATAATGTTCTTAATGTTATCCCACAGTTCCTCTGGTTTTGTATGTTCAATGCATCAAATCTATTCTTTAAATGGTCACTAAATTCAGGAGGGATATTATCAAGGTCACATTTTGGTTTTTGTGGGTTTGTTTTAATTGCCTTCAGCTTCAACTTGAACTTGCATATGAGCAGTTGATGGTCTGTTCCACAGTCAGCTCATGGCTTTGTTTTGGCTGAAGATATTGAGCTTCTCTATCACCTCTTGCCACAGATGCAGTCAATCCTGCAATACAATTCCTGTATACTCCATCTGGTGAACTCCACATTTATAACTGCCATTTGTGTTGTTGAAAAAGGGTATTTGCAATGAATAAGTCATTGGTCTTGCAAAATTCGATCATATGTTCTCCAGTATTATTTCTATCATTAACATCAAATTTTCCAACTACCAGTGATTCTTCTTTGTTTCCAGTTTTGCATTCCAATCACCAGTGATAATCAACACATTCAGGTTGCATATTCAGTCAATTTCAGACTGCCGAAGTTGGTAAAAATCTTTAACTTCCTCATCTTTATTTTTGGTAGTTGATGAGTAAATTTGAATAATAATAATATTAACTGATTTTTGTCTTAGGCATATGGATATTATCCTATCATTGATATCATTGTACTTCAGGATAGGTTTGGAAACATTCTTTGTGGTAATGAATGCCACACCATTCCTCTTCAATTTATCATTTCCAGCATAGTAGATCATGTGGTTGTCTGATTCAAAATGGCCTTAACCAGTCCATTTCAGCTCACTCATGCCTATGCATTCCATTTTATTTTTGACAACTTCTAATTTTCCTAGATTCATGATTCAAACATTCCATGTTCCAATTATTAATGGATGGTTGCAGCTGTTTCTTCTCATTTTGAGGCATGGCACATCAGCTATTGGAGGTCCCAAAAGCTTTATTCCATCCATATCATTAAGATTGGCTCTACTCTGAGGAGCCAGCTCTTCCCCAGTCGTATTTTGTGTGCCTTCCAACCTCAGGGGCTTATCTTCCATCAATATCCAACAATGTTTCAGGGCTATTCATAAAGTTTTCCAGTAATATATTAGACAGTGTTTCACTGCTATTCATAAGGTTTTCATTGACCAATTCTTTGAGAAGTGGATGGCCTCTTCCTTCTTCCCAGTCTGTCTTAGTCTGGAAGCTCTGCTGAAACCTGTCCACCATGGGTAACCCTACTGTCATTTGCTATACTGGTGGCATAACCTCCAGCATCATAGCAACATGCAAGCAACCACAGGAAAACAAACTGACAGACAAGTTCATCTCCTTTAGTTGTTCCAAACCGCACTGCTCAATTCCTGAACTCCCTTAAAGCTGTTCCAAACCTGTGCCTGGCTCTCCACCTTCTGCCTTCCACTTTCCAAGTCCCCTTTAAGAGGCTGCTTCCAAGCACCCCCATCCCCAGCTCTCTGCCTTCCACCTTCTGCCTTCCAGGCCACCCTTATGAAGCTGCCTCCAAGCTCCCCTGAGCCCTGCTCACCACTTCCACCTTCCACCTACCAGCCACCCTTAATACCAAATAAATGTCACATGATAAATTTGTCAAATGAATGTACAAATGAAATGTCAAATGAAACTACAGTTCATTGAGAGCAAACAATGTATCACTGTGGCCAATTGGCCAAGAATGCTAATTGAGAATCACTTTGTAAAATTATTATTATTAGCTATTATAATTTATAAAATGCTTCCTCTCTTTCAGAGCCATGAAACAACAGAGGCTAGCTTTTAACTCCATGGAATATTTCATACCAGTAAAGAAAGGACACTCAACAATTTTTGTTCAGGTTATGCTGGAAGCAAAGATGAAAGAGTATGGACCTAATAGAACTAAATATTTTGCACAACTCACAAGCTATTTAAACAGTACAAAACAATAGCGAAGCAACTACATCTGTGAAGAACAAACTATGTCGCCCAATATAGTAAATATCTGTTTTGGAAAAGTACATGCTAATAAGCATGGTTCAGTGGGGGTGGGGAGATGACACCACAGCCTTGGGAACCATTCAAAATTGTATTCAAACTCAAGTGCCATCACTTCCTAACTATGTAACATTAAAAAGTTACTTAAGCTTTCCAAGTCTCTTTCTTTTTTTTAATATATAAAGTGAGTGTTAATACTTTCCTTGAAGAGTAAATGTGAGCCTCAAATGGGATAACATATGTAAATGGATAATATACTAAAAGTGCCTGACAATTAGTTTCAAAAAGGAAAAAAAAAAACCCACTACCATAGAGTCCATTCCAACTCATAGCAACCCCCACTGGGTTTCCAAGGTGGTAAATCTTTACAGAAATGCATTGCCCCATCTTCCTTCCACAAGCTCGTGGGTTTGAACCACCAATCTTCTGGTTAGCAGTCAAATGCCTTAGGCACTGCACCACCAGAGCTCCTTGACACATAGTTAAAGCTCAATATATGTAAGTTTTCTCTCTGCAGCCTTTCCTTTCCCTATTTCATGTCATTACGTTTGGCAAAGAATGGAAGGAAGTTTGCTTGTTGCATATCATCATCTTTCCTCAAAGGCTTAGATTCTTAACCAAGATGTTTAAACACTAGGTGCTCGAGTGTGTCATTATTCCAATAATATTACTTGCATTAAGAGAGATATTTTGATTCACTCTAAGAAATTAAATCTGCTACAGCATGCTACTAAGTTACTAATACATATTAATCTCCCAGAGACCTAAGTAGATTTACATAACAAATCAATAAGTCTGCAAAAGATCTTCAAATAATATCATAAACTTGTTGTTATGTGCTGTCGAGTCAGACCCAACTCACAGCGACCCCTCTTTGGGTTTTCAAGGCAGATCACTATGGAGGTAGATTGCCCCATCTTCCTTCTGAGGAGTGGCTGTTGAGTTTGAACTGCCAGCCTTCTGGTTAGCAGTCAAGTGTATTCAAACTGTCATACTTCTTTTAAAATACAGCATTCAGACTCTAGCTGAAACATAATTACACCCTTTCCTCTATTCCCCCCAGTACAAACAAGTGCTCTTTTTCTTGCCCCTTTTTCTCAAATCCTCCAGGACAAATATCTTAATTGTCACTCTTATTCTCAGCACACAGTCATGTCACCAAAGCAATGAGATGTTATCTTTCCTCCTCATTTTGAAAGTCTAAGCCTACTCATCTAGATATAGATTGCATACCTTTTACTGATAACTGCCTTCAAATCAAATATATTTAAGAAAATCAGTAAGGAAAAAGTACTTGTTTTAAAAGAATTATTCTCTTTGACCATTTGTTTTAGATCTTAAGTCCTTTTGCTATTTTTTAAAAACCTGAACAAAATTCCTGAGAACCCATATCCTTTTACCACAAATGCTCTTTTTTCAAGTTGGACAAAGAACCAGCGGGTAGCTCTGAGTAGCTCCACACCCTCTCACAAGCCCTCCTGACCTCAATAGCAAGTTTAAGGTAGAAAATGATGATTTGCAAGGCTGCTGTATCCGTAAGTTTAGTTATAGCTCTGGAGTACTAAGCATCAGTATTGACTCAGACTTGATATCCCAGATTAATTACACAACATCCAGCCTTAGGCTAAAATTTGAGAACAAGAAACCACCTTGGAAAAAAAAACTAGAGACAGAATTTTGAAAACAAACTCCCAAAAGTCTTATTTCTTAGCTATGTGAATTGTATATTTAAAGTAAATTCTGTAGTCCAAATACATATATTTTATGTACCAGATCAGTCACACAATTTCATAAAGTACCACACAAACATGCTTCCTGTATAGATGATATATCTAAAATGTCTGAATAAGAAAAAGAGCAAACAGAAACCACACAGACAAGAGTCTAATTGTGCTAGCTTATGCTGCCATCTATAGAGCATACACTGTAGACATGCTTATCTTCCCCAACCAACAAAATGTGTTATTTACACAACTCCAACTAACCACAAAAAGGAATGTCTATGTTGTCTGTTAAAATGGAACCACCTACACACCTGCTGCCATATGTCACCTCCTCTGACTTTCCCTTCTAAAAATACAGCTTGAAACTTTTGGGGGGAAAGTTTTATTTCTAAGTTAGTGACAAGAAGTACAGAAAAGGTAATTAGTACAAGTATAAACCAGTAAACCAGTTGTCCTCAAGTTAATTCTGATTCATGATAACACCATAGTATCAGAGTCGAACTGTGTTCCATAGGGTTTTCAATGATTGTTCTTTTGAAAATAGATGTCCTGGCCTTTCTTTCAAGATGCCTCCGGGTGGATTGAACCACCAATCTTCGGTTAGTAGCCAAGTGTGTTAACTGTTTGTGCCACCCAGGGACTCCAAGACAAGTATAAAAGTCATTAAAAGCACTCATGTGATTCTCTGGCACACAAGAGACCTGATCTATATTAAAGCCTACATAGAAAAATTAATACTTAGTTTCTAAATCTATGCTGATTTGTGTTCTCAAATAAATGTGACCTTTCATCCTTTTGCTATCAAATTTGAGTTCCTTTCAGCTTCAATGATAAGAAGGTGTCATAGACCCAAGCCATTAATTACAAAATAAAATTAACTCACCTCATTGCCTTCCAAATCAAGGATTTTATCATGTTCTTTAATTTCATCTTCTTTAACTATCTCAGCTGGTAACTAGGGAGAAAATACACCATGTTTTATATTTAGTCATTTTCAACTTCTGTCAAATTCCTTTGAAAATGCAAATAGTGCGTGAAATAGTGTGAATATCTAGACTACTTCTATGGACAGAGCTGAAAAAGTCACTGTAGTTTATCCTGAGTGGTTACTTCAATGCAAGATTGTGTTTGCTCTGTATTTCACCTTTGACTCCATTAATGCAATGCCAATGGGGTGGATACAACTGTTGGAGATATCTTCAAGGAAAAAGACTATAAATCCCTCTTGTGTAATAAGAAGTGGCTTGGTCACTTCTGATTAGCCTGATGCCTCTGAGTGACAGGTAATAAATGACTTCATTCTTGCTGCACTCTTGGGGATCACAAACAGGGCACTCTGTTCTCTGTTCAAGAGATGTCCTCCACAACCTGACTCATTTCGTTCCTCACACAGCAGTGCTTTTTCATCCTTCTTATTTATTATTTTCCAGTTTGTATTAATTTTTAGCCAATGGTAGATTATTAATAAGCAAGGTAAGCACAGGTTTACTGGTGCTATTTACTAATCTGTAGTGAATCATTTCACATGAGTTTCACCACCTTGCTAACTTGGTGCCCCATCCTTGTCAGGGATTGTAAATTTGAAAAGAAGTTTTGATTCTGTAGGAAGGTTCTTTGGAATTGAGCTAGAGACAGATCCCAGCTATTCCTAGAAGCAGAATCTTTGATGTGGTGAAAAAAAATGTGAAATTTTTCACTATATAGATTAGTAAGTAAGCACAAGTAAATCCATGCTTACCTTACTTACTGGGTAATCCAACACTGTTTCTGGGTTAATGAGTTTTCTTAATTGGCAGCCTGGAACCTCTCACTACTCTGTGGAAAAAGCATGTGTTTGGAGGCCAAATAAAGACACACATGAGGCTACTTCAATTATATTTGTATTATAAGTCAGGGTAGGTTGATTATGCTGCAATAACAAAACAAATGCATATGCCATATGTTCATTATGGGCTGGCAAGGGAGTTTTCTGTTCATCACAGTCCATGAGAAAAGCAAGTAAGGGAGGTTCTGTTCTGGTTACCTAGTGCCTCTCTGTCATGAATATACCACAAATGGAATGGCTTGAACAAACAGGAGTTTATTCTCTTAAAGTTTGGAGTCTTTAAGTCCAAGTTCAAAGTGCCAGGCTCCAGGGATTGGGTGAAAGCCCCTCAGCCTTGGGCTTCAGCTCTGCCTCCAGCTCCCAGCCCACTGAAGCCAGAGGTGTTTCTTCACTCAGACAGCTGCTGGCTGCTGAGGCTGGCAAACCCGAGGTAGACAAGTAAAAAGGCACAGTTCTGATGTTACCAGACCACATGGCAGGCCATTAATTTAATTCCATTGTAAGTTCCAAGGTCGGCAGAGCATGGCAGGCTGATGAACAATGACACAGCTACATGCAGGGTCCAAGCGTGCCATAAGCTAGATACTATCCCCAAGCCTTCTCCTTATATACAGGAAGCACACCACATCCCAAAGGCAGCTACTCAGCTGCTTGTGGTAGATCCCACTATGGAGTTGACTGCCAGTCTCATCATGGGGAATAACTACCACCAGCCGCCCAGCCAAGTTGACACACAAACATTACTACCACAGGTTCCAACTCAACTTTTTCCATGATCTCAGAGGCAGAGAATATGGAGTGTAGCAAATAACACGGTGCCTCTTAAAAGTTTCTGCCTGGAAGTGTTGCTCATTAATTCCATTCACATTCCATTGGTGAAGGAAAGTCACATAGCCACACTTGAGATAAAATGAGTAGAAAAGTACAGTCTTACAATGTCACCAGTGTGAAAGAGCTGCCACTAGTGTGAAGGCCTAATGACTCCACGATTCTTGCCTGTTTGAAAACCCTCAAATCTGCTACAACTAAATTCTACAGCAATGTAGTTGTGTAGGTAGGTGTTCTAATACTTCCCATCTAATTAACACTGACTGCAGTTTTTCAAATGTTCTGAAAATTCAGACCAAGGATATATGAACTTTACCTTTCTACATATTTTAATAGGAAAGTAATCATAATGAATAAAATTCTGTGCAGACTGTTCAAACAACATAAGAAAATAAACATTTCAAAAATATATTATTTCAAAAAATAATTGATGTAATGATAATATCGACATATTAATTTATTTAACAAATACACTTGCTCTATTGAATGCCACCATGATAGGAGATATAACAGTGATAGTAAGTACAAGCAAACGTGGCCCTTAAAAAGCATAGAGTCTTATGGGGAAGACAAATACAAATTAACTAATCACACAAACATAAACACACAGCTGTGGTTAAGTGCTCAAGGAGAGGTACTTGGAGCTGAAAAATACAATAATAGAAAATTTTAATATATATGAGACCAGAAAAGGATCCCTTTAGTAAGTGATTAGTCTCTGTGTAGCAAAAACTGCTTGATTACTAGCTGAAAGGTTGGAAGTTCAAACTCACCCAGAGATATCTCAACAGGCAAGACTGGCTATCTGCTTCTGAAAGGTCACAGCTATTGAAAACCTTATGCACACATGGGGTTGCCATGAGTTGGAAATGACTGGACGGCAACTAACAACAACAAGAACAGCAGTAAGTATGAATTTGAAGTTAGAAAGATGAAAACATGTTAATATATAAAAAAAGAAAGGAAAGAACATCACAGATAAAGGCAACAGTGTGTATATAGCCCTGTGGCTGGAGAGAGTACTGATATTTAGAAGTACTTGGGATGGCCAGTATACAGAGAACAAGAGCAATAGGAGTCTAACCAAGAGAAGAAAATAATCAGAATTACAGTGATGATGATACAGACAGAAAGGGGTGGATAGGTTCCAGACATACTTAAGAAGTAAAATTCACAAAACTTGAGATGATCAAGATATGGAAGGCTTGAAAGTGAAACATCTCACAAATATCTCTTAAGTTTCTTTTTTGTCATACTGGATGGATGATGGTGTAAGTTAGTCTCAGACAGGAAAACTAGTAAGAGAACAAGGTTTAGGGGTGATGAGAGGAGGGAAACCATGGATTATAGTCTTACTTTGCTGAACATCAGTATCCTAAAACATCTAGTAGATAAAGTGAAATTAGTAGATGTATATGTGTGTCTGGAGCTCAGGGAAGAAATTTGTACAGAGATCAAAGGCATGGTTATACAGAATTTTGGCTAGAGAAAAAGCCTAGAATGAGAAAACACCAAAAGAGGAATGATGAAAAAGAGAAACAATGGTGAGAGAGACAGAAGGAAAATCAGGAGACTACTGTGTCTTAACAGAAGAAGAGAGTATGTCAATAAGAAGGTGTCAATTGATCCTGAAAGGTCTAATTTGATGAGAACTGAAAAATATGTTTGATTGGGGGACATGGAGGTCAAGAACTGTTTCAGTGTCATTATGGGCAGAAGCCAAGAGATTAATGAGAGGGGTGAAGATGAAGAGGGTGGGTATCGACCACTCCCTCTAAAATTTGGCTCTATAGGTAAGGGTAGAGGTCCTGCTCAAAAAGAACTAGAACAAGGGAAGGTTTGTGTTTAAAAATTTTTTTAAAAAAAGAAGGGAGATTTCAGCACATTAAAAAATCAGCCAGGAGGATCTAAGTGCAGTAGTAGTTGAATGTACCAAAAAGAGAGAGAGAGAGAAGGAATAATTTGTAGCACAAGTTTCCTCAGAAGCTGTGAGGGTACATAGGCAGAGAGATCAGCCTTAACAGGAGGACAGACAATTCTATCATTAAGAAGAGGAAGACAGATGCTGATCAAAGATTCGTGTAGTAGACACCTGATGATCTGCTCCTATAAAAACTACAGCCTAGGAAACCTTGAAGGCAAGTTCTACTCTGTCACATGGCGTGTCTGTGACTTGGAATCCACACAATGGTACACAACGATGAAACTAAGAGCTACTTATTCTCGCAGCAAACCCTTACCTTATTCTTTGCTAAAACAATCCCAAATCCCGATCTCTTTTAGGTTTTACTCAAAAAATTCAGGAAAGTCTGGGCCTCCATTCAGACACTATAGGAAATGTTCATTAATCGAAACCACCAAAGGTTAATTCCCTTCTCTGGCTAGTGGTAAGGATTAGGTACAGATATGTACTGGATTTCTGAACAAGACAGTTAAGTCTGCTGGAAGGCACCTGGGAGAAATTTTTCTCACTCTTTCAAAAATATCAACCCACCAACCATTTGTCAACGACTCAGTTCCAACTCCTGGTGACCCATGTGTATCAGAATAGAACTGTGCACCACGGGGTTCTCAATATCTGGTTTTTCAGAAGCAGATTGCTAGACCTTTCTTCTGAGGCACCTCTGGGTAGACTTGAACTGCCAACCTTTCAGTTAGCAGCTGAACATATTAACTGATGGCACCACCCAGGGACTCCATCAAAAAGAGAGGGAAGAAATAATCTCTATTCTTTTGCTCAACATTAATGTGTCTAAATGTGCCACTCAGCTGAAGCAACCATCCTGAAACCAGGAGGAGAAAAGTCTGAGGACAAAAATCAATATGCTGAAGAAGACAGCAAGGAAAGATAGAATCTGAGCCCTAAATTACATCATTGAGTTCTAAGCGGACAATGTATGAACCACTCAACTTCTAGACTTTCTCTTACCTGGCATAATAAATATTCCTTATTGTTTAAGCCACTTCTATTTATCAAAACATCCTAACAGATATAGAAGTTAATTATACTTTTAATTTATTCATTAAAGCAGGATGCCCTAAGGATCTTTGTTAACTTAGTTTGAGTTACTCTATGTACCTGAAAATACTGAAGCTTTAAAGCTTCATTATGTTTTTCCTAATTAAACAATTCAAAGATTACACAAATGTAGACTGACCTTCTTCTAATTAGTTCAAATTATTTTGGTTTTACTTTAGTTACTGACTTATCTCTTTCTATGAAGTGAAATGCAATAAGCAGTTAAGAAGTGCAGTTTAGGGTGTATTACTCTCTTTCTACTCAAGAATCTAAGTAAAGACAC